CTGATTGTTTTTATATCGGCTCAGCCAGGTTATATGGGAGGCCCAGTCTACGAACCCAGTCTACGAACACTCTAAAAACAAATGCTTGGCTTAACAAAGAGAATCAAGGCAATAGGTTGCATCGATGGTTATTGAGTTAAGACAACTTCTAATGACATTTTGTTAAAGCAACAAAGTTATTTGAGTTAGGGGAGAAGGCGTTTCCTCTACAATCAGGTGTTTTCAATTACCACTTACTTAATAATTGGTAGCATAAACACAAGTTTTTAAGTTGATTACTCCAAAAGTTCCAACTTGTTTTACCGTATGATTTAAATGTAATCTTAAGTTGTGTGTACTTAAACACACATTTGGTTGTTTATAGCATAAAGAACATCTGAGTTAATGTGAGGTAGGGAAATAATCATTTGAGTATGTGCATATAAATATGTAATTTACAACAGCTGTAAGATGCTTGAAAATGCTTGAAAAGTGCTTGAATTTGATTTTGGAAAAAGTGTAAGAACCCTCTTATTGACCTTTGCCTGAAGGTGACGAACACGACTGTGTGCACACCTAGACCCGACTTAAAAGACGTTCCTCTGACCAACGCTGACCTCATTTTGTATGTTGATGGGTCTGCCTCTCGCGACCAAGGGGGCACTAATCGGGTGGGGTTTTTCCTGTTGTTTCAGATTCTGCTGTACTCCGTTCCGGACCAATCCCATGTCTCAGCACAAGCAGCAGAGCTCATCGCACTAACTGAAGCCTGCACGTTTGCAGAAGGCAAAACCGTGACTATTTACACTGACTCACGCTATGCTTTTGGGGTAGTGCACGATTTTGTGGCTATTTGGAAGTGTAGACAATTTCTGCAAGCAGTACAGACCCAGTTCCCCTAAGAAATTGGGTCTGCTAATTACCTGCTGACTCAGCCGCAAAGGAAGAGTCTGATTCCTCTCGCACCTCACGCACCTTACACTCATTTGTTAGAATCCCTGTCTCCTCCTTCACTGACAACATGTCGTCACTTCAGCAGCTAGCTACACCAGTTGAGAAGGCTCGGTGGAAGGCTGCTGGGGCTGTTTTTGACACATGGGTTGGACAATGTGTCAAAAGGGGGGATGTTAGAGGCTATAAATCAGATGTTAGAGGCTATAAATCAGGAGTGGTTCACAAGGGGGGTGAAGGGGGGTAATTTGTATTATGCAAAATTCATTTGAGCACCTAATGCTGGATTTCATTGAGCTTAGCCCATCAGAGAACATCTTAAATTAGAACAACGGTTCACATTTTGCTAAAGAGGGAACGGCACAATCAAAAACAAACTAGCAAAATGCTGTGCAGACACAGGTCTGTCATGGACACAAGCTCTGTCCATTGTGCTGATGTACATGCGGATGTGGGAACGAAGACGGAGCCAACTCAGCCATTTGAAATCCTTTTTGGGGCTCCTCCACAGATTGGACTCAAGGCTCCAGGATGTCCTCTTCCCTCCACAACTTTGTGTGAGGATGCTATGTTGCTATGTTGCTATGTTGTATGTTAACCTGTCATCCACTTTAGCGACTGCCACTGGTCCACTTAACCATCTCCAACCCGGCGACTTCGTGCTGGTCAAGGATTTCCGGAGAAAGAGCTGGAAATCCAATCGTTGGCCCCTACCTGCGTCTGGTCAACCAGACAGCGGTCAAGGTCGCCGAGAGAGAGCTACGTGGGTCCACGCCAGCCACTGCAAGGTCGTAGTCACGGGAAAGGAGAAACGGTAGAAGCAGAAGACAACAAGTGACGTGTCCTAGTCACCAACAAAAGTGGATGACAACAAGTGATGTGTCCTAATCACCAACATAAGTAGATGACAACAAGTGATGTGTCCTAATCACCAACAGAAGTAGATGACAACAAGTGATGTGTCCTAATCACCAACTTGCACCACACTTGCACTACATACACCAAAACACACTACACACAAGGTGTCACGAGCGAGTGCCAGCTGAGCGGTTCCATATGCCCTCTGGTTCCTCGTTTGTGTTACCGGTGTGCGGAGTCTGACTGTCCGTGTCACAAAATCGACCGAAGGAATACACACACACACCCCATGGAGCATTCCCACATCGTGATGACGGCTCGCCTGGGAAAACGACGACGCAACAGTGAGCAATACTACCGGAGAGCCTGGACAATCATAAAATGGTTCCTCTGCATATTTGCCATGATAGTTGTGTTAGGACTAGTCCTATATTTTATGTATCCATGGTCAGCACAAAGCATGTCAGCCGAAATCGAGATATCTAAGAGGTACATGGGGAGAGCAGGGCGAACACACGGGCAGAGGGGCTGGTCAAGACAGGGATTGGTAACATTACTCTAAGGGATGGGGAAGATAGCACAGTGCAGTTACGATGTTTACAATATCTCGTATTGCATATTCGGTGCCCCTGGAAGAATCCTTTCTAACGTAGCATTCCCTGCTCTATCAAGTTCTGGCTCCCCTCTGGATAGGTACATGCACTCTAGTAGATTTGAATCCAGCAGTCACGGTCCTCACGTCCTTAATGCACACGACACATCATTACCCAGAGTTCAAACACCCCGACCACCACAAGGTAAAAAGAGAGCTGACGTCCACTGGAGCTAAATTATTTGGTGGCTTGTTTCCATGGTGGGGTACAGTAAACAATGCCCATAACATAGATACCTTAGATGTTCGACTAGAGAACCTCACTTACGAGACGACGCAAGGCTTCCAGGCATTGCCCCCATTTATAATAGCCTCTAGGAATATGCTCATGCAGCACCAATTTGCTCTTGACCTTTTGTTCGCATCAAAGGGTGGCCTGTGTCATGTGATCGGTGACTCCTGTTGCACTTACATTCCCGACGCCACCAAGAACATCACTGACACCGTGCTGCATCTTAACAACTTGTTAGCCGACATGAAAGTGGATGACATATCCAACGCAGGCGGCTGGGACTGGTGGTCCTGGTTTACATCGGGGGGGGGGGGGGGGGGGGGGGGTGGCAAGGCTGGCTAGGATAGTTACACCCCTGATAATCATTTTCGGCCTATTAATTTTATACCTGTTTGATTATCCCAATACTGAAGAAAGGCTTTTCCAGCCTGGTATCCTTAGCTTTCGTTCAGTATACTGCTATTCCATTACACGACAATCCTTTGCGCCACAGTGAGATAGACCAGCTAGAATCAGAAGTCTGATTCTGACACTACAATATAATCAATATAATCATGTGAATCGAGTGTACTCTCCTCTTATGCTTACATTATATTGGAGTCTGTCCTCCACAAAAACAGCCAGTTTTTCTATGATATATTTGTGATGTGTTTACTTAAACCAGTGATGGAGTGTATTCATTGATGTGTTATATCAGTCTATCCTGTCATTTGTTTTTTTTATTGATCAAGTATGATCAAAAGGGGGGAATGTAGTGGACATTTTATTATATCCTGATATGTTTTAACCAAATGCTTCTCATTTGGTTAGATGTGCTGTTTTCCTCTATCTATCCTACTTCAAGGCCACAGAGCTGTTTTGGCTACTGGGTTGAGACTACCTTCCCACCCTTTCCTCAATATAAGCTTGAAAACTATATTGAACTGCGCACACTCGCGCAGACATATTTTATACTCTGTGAGACCTGTGTCTATATATATATATATATTTGATTGTATCTGATGTTTGTTTGAGTCATCGAATAAACATCACCAGAAAGACAACTGTCTGATTCACCATTTATTTGATTTGATCACTTTGACTTGTACTCTACAGTATTGTGGTTTTTAGATTTCCATAACAGTTCCCAGAAACTTCTCGCGAGCACATAAGAATTCTGAGTGACAGGATACTCTGGTGGTCATTCGGGACTCATAGAGTACAGCCGTAACTATGGTTCTATTTCGTCCCTACTGACCGCCAGAGGCGGTGTTTTAGCACTGGATGACGTCTTATACCAACCATGTCATGAAGAATCCAAGCCCTTGCTCACTACTGGAAGCAGCGGAGCTCGGCAAAAGGACCACGCCCAAAGGATGGGGAGTGGCATTAACCCGATAAAACCTGGAGAATGCCAGAAGACGCCCACGACGCCGCGGCGCAGATGGTCTCCAGGGGCACCCCTCTCAGGGCAGCCCAAGATGTTGAGATGCTCCTTGTAGAGTGGCATCTCAGCCCTGATGGCAGTGGGGCGGCCACTGGCCCCGTAGGCATGTGAGATGGTATCGACAACCCAGTGGGGCAGCCACTGTTTAGAGGGCACAAACTCTTTCAGTGCCGCCATGGCAAACGAAGAGCTGCTCCGACTGCCGTAACAGGCAGTAGCATCGATATACGCCCATAGGGCACCCACAGGGCACAGCAACTCCGACGTGCCATTCTCCTGAATGTCAAAGCGTGCCAGCTGGACAGGCTGATTGAAGTGGGTTTGTGGAAGCACCTTGGCAGGAACACCACATTTGCCCAAAGAGCAACACCTGAATGTAGCCACGGTACTCTCGCACAGCGAGAAGATGAAAGGAACAGATCCTCTGATGACACCGGCAGATATAGCCGTCACGTGACGTGGGTCACAGGTGACTTGTTATTGGTACTCGAGCTGCGCATGCGCGCGATGGACATATCCAGTGCTAAAGCACCGCCTCTGGCGGTCAGTAGGGACGAAATAGAACCTCGATCAGAGCTGCCGTCCTTTTAAGTTACGTTGCTCTCGCCGCAATTCCAGCCGTTGGGACCAAGTGGAACGGACCACTTGTCCGTTTTTCTTAGCGGAAGCAATATGATCATTTTTAAGTAAAAAAAAAAATGTTGAATCAATATTGTGAGTCAAGCCGGTTAATTTAGGGAGGCTGATCACCCTGCCTATGTTTATTTTCATGAATGACCGCCCCGCTGCATATTATCCCTTACATAATGAATAAATCAAATTAACATTGAATGATTACAGTGTGTCTATACTTCCAAGAGGCATCTTTAACTTATTTGAAACTGTGTGTGTGGATGATGTACCTGGTCCTCCTCCCCGCCTCCCTCCTCATCATAGTTGAGGACGTTCTCCCGGATGTCCTCCCAGCCGTCGTGGTGGGCGGAGACGTGGTACACGCCCTCCTTCAGCCCCTTGTAGCTCCTCCAGCGCGTGTACAGGAAGATGCCCAGCAGCAGCACTGCAGACACACAGATGAAGAGGTTCATCAGTGCGGGCATTATAATTGACAATTTCAATGATTACGATCCTTCAGCCGATCTCTGCGGCCCCAGAGAGAGTGGCTGCCTGATGGAGTCGGCCTTGAGCATCATTTGACCAAAATGTGATGTGAAATGTGATGAGTTGTGGGGGATAATGATGCTCTGGGGTTCAAGATAGCAATATTCATCCTATTTTATTTACTTGTGGAAGAGAGATGTAAAAGATTATAGGGCTAGCTAACATTTTGTATTAATGCACCATGGGAAGTGTTCCACCTGAGCCAGAGTTTTTGACAGCTGAATTGGCTAAAGTGAACAAATTGTGGAAATGACTTTAAACTGGAATACGCAAAATTAGGCTTTTAGAGGAAAACCTCAGTCCTCACTTTAAGGGCGTCAAACAATAACGACCCACACAACCCGCTTTGGTTTAGAGAAGGCGCGAAGCAAGACATTTAAACCCTCAACTCGCTAACTCAGTTTACTGAAGCAATCAAATCATTTGTGTCATTTCTTCATAGACTTCCATAGAAGAGGAACTACTTTTTTCAACCTGTGGAGTCACCCAATGTTTGCCTAAAGAGAGAATGCAGGTTCAAGGCACTTCCGCATTGTCTTGTCTGGTTTTGAACTAACTTGAATGTAAACCCATTTGAGTAATTACAAGACTTTCAGAGCCACAAAAGTAGTTTAAAGAGCGAAATAGTCATGTTCCTACATCAGTGACTTTCAAATCCTTTTTAGCCCAAACTAAATCCTTTTTGTATACCTAACAAGTCCTTTTATTGCCTAAACTCCTAACCTACATTTTACGTAAGCTACTTGTTAAACCAAAGTTATATCATGACAAAATACATTTTAGTCTAAATGGGACAATACAGTAAAATAAACATCTTTGAGGAAGACTTAAAACTGGTGATTGAGACCATCAACTTATTAGGATAAAGTTTACGGAAGCAATAAACAAAAATAAAAGTAGGGCCATTTTTTTCATAGACTACAAGAAGGACTACTTTTTGCAACCAGTGGAGTTGCCCCTGCTGCCGGTTAGAGATAATGCACGGTTAAAGCTCTTGGATTTGCTTCTCTTTAAGAACAGGAGGTTGTTTCTAATCTAATCTAATCTAATTTGAAGATTTTAAGCTACAAAGAACATTGTGATTCCTTTCAAGTTTCTGGCTACAGAACAACTTTCTTCTAATTCAAAAAGAAGGCAGTAAGAGCTTTATTTTCTTGCATAATATTCTTTAAAATGCTTAGTGTGTCTTGTGTAAATGATCTCAGAGGAGTTCATGCAGTATAACAAGCTTCATTTATTTTTAGAATAGAACTTCCTTGACAAATTGACAGACCTCAAGTCCCAACTGAATCATGAAATTAACCAACATTTTTCAAATGTTTACTCACAACTCATGGCATGGCAACCACCAAGTGATTTACAATGTTAGAGCTGAGGAGCAAACAGATATCATTTTGTTGGACTTTGTTTGAATTTTCTAATTTGACTATGAGCATCTATCCCAGTAACATGTCCTCACACACGCACGCACGCACGCACGCACGCACGCACGCACGCACGCCACATAACAGCATTTAGATCATTTGGGTCTCCCAGAATAACAGCAGTGATGGAACGGGTCTCAATGTTGAATTGAAATCATATCGGTTAAACGCTTCACTCGCAGTTCCTCTCCTATCATCATCAGCTAAATATAGAATGTATAGAATATATATATATATAGAATATATAACAATACATGAGCTCAACATGACTGACTGGACTGGCCAGTATCAGAATGACGATAAAAGATGAATACTCACGAGGCTACTTAAGATGGAGATTAAAGCGATTCTTCACATCCTCATTCCTTTACATTTGCCAATATCTCTATAGTTAAGGGTAATTATATCTGAGATCGCAGGACAGGCCTCGCAGGCATGGAACATCCTTTTAAATGATCTCCACTGTCAGGCAGCACTGCCTGACAGTGTTTGGTCGTAAATTACATCCAGAGATTCAAAAAATGCTAACGATGCCCTGGCTAAGGGATTCACATAATTATCTATATTAGAGCTACTAACGCTCCAATTAGAAAAGGACAGCTTTAAAATGTGCATTATTCACATTTACCATGAATATATAAGATTGCAGAAGGTGTTAACATTGATTGGAAATTCTATATTAGAGCAATGTACTGAAAGAGTGAATACTTTAAGTTACACTTTGAGGTGATTTAACTTAAGTGAAAAGCAGATTGTAGGTACATACTCACACACAGGCAGACACACACACACACAACCAATCAGTATGTCATTCCGACTCTGGCGTTGCCGTGACCTTTTCAGATGTCTAACACAGTGGTTCCCAAACTTGTTGTGCCCAAGGCACACCAAAGGACAAGTAAAAATCTCAAGGCACACCTATTGTGCAAAATAGCCCTTATAACACGTGTTATCACTCATATCATGTAAAGTATCTGTAAATGTGCATAATTATTTACTAATGCCAAATAAAATGTGACAAAGACAACTATATTACGAAATATTTCAGAAATTAATTTGAAACTTCAAATTAGGCTTCATCAAAGCAGCAACACACTCATTTAAACCAGACAGGTCACAACATTAAAAATGAGGCAAAGGAAACTCAGCAGAAATTCAGCATAGAGAACTGTCAATGCAAGGAAGCTGCATTGTCCATGGTCCTGAACTACAAATTATAAATTATAAATGTATTACTTAAAAAAAAGTAATATATTACACTACTTCGTTACTATCTACATAAGCCGAGCACGTACGAACTGCGCATGCGTGAGTGGCAATAACTTTCCTTACCAGCAGGCGGCGGTAGTGTGTATTTGTCATTCAAAACAGGCAACAACCGGAAGAAAAAATTAGAAAAAAATTACGCCACTAATTATTTTAACGCGATGTATATATATATGTATATGTATATATTTTTTCCTCGGCCGCCCCGTAGTTTCAGAGCGCATCGAGTTTAAAATACCATCTACAAGCTGATGCTGACAGCCCCGCTCCTGCCGCCCGCTTGTGGCAGACCACACTTCCACGCTCACCGGCAGGCCCCGACTGGCCATCTGGAGGACCGGGAGGGTGTGTGTATGTGTGGCCCGAGCGAGCGAGAGAGAGACCTTACGTGCATTGTTGTTGTTAGCATCTGGTGCTAGCTAGCTGCGCTAACGGATATAAGGAGATGTTTAAATGAAAACAGAGGAGCGACATTTCGCCACAACTGCGCCGAGCACTTGACTTTATGCAGGAAGCCAGACAGTGGGACATTGTACGAAAAGTCAGCACACTCAGCACGGATAGTGCGCAACATGATTGCAGCGTCCAGGCAGCTCCGGTTCGAGCATATGCCTTGAGTTACACATAGCTCCAACGCCCATACCACCGACGACATGTTTGTTTACTGTCCTGGCTTCACGGCCGCACACCATTTACGTCACAGCCAGGCATGAGTTAGGGAACGCTGGATTTGTGAAGAACTCCCCTCTTCCTAAACCACTAATACCACAGTACTGGCAAAACAGGAGGAGCCGAGTGAAAAACAAGCGCCCCTCATCCCAATCCACCCACACCGCAGTATTTTTTTCTTTTTTTTTACCCAAAAAATATATTGTATATTATCGGGGCTATTCATACTGGTATCGGGTTTATCGGGATGACGTCATAATTCCTAATATCGGGCCGATAATTATCGTGCATCCCTAATAATGACATAACTATGTAACACTCACGCTTCTATTGGATAGCGCTCCAACACATTGTACGTGATAGGCTAAGGGGCGGGACATCTCTAAGCAGTTGACCAATCACAACAGAGCCGGCCAGCTAACCAATCAGAGCAGACTGGGCTCTGGTTTCAGACAGAGGGTGAAAAGAGGTGCCGCAGCACAGGCAGTATGGAGAACAATAAAGAGCTTTGTGAACATTAAAGCATGGAGACATGTACTAGTAGAGACACTAAATACAAATAGGAATCTGAAGATGAGCACGATATGTCCTCCTACATGCATCAATAATTATAATAAAATAATTTAAAGTATGTGTGCCTTATGGCGATACTTTCACTTTTGCTCATTAAAGTATGACTTTTACATAGCATAGAGTATTTCTACACTGTCATATGGCTCGTTTTACTTGAGTAAATAATCGGAATACTTCTTCTACCTCTTCAATTAACTGATTTATTTTCGAATTCATATTTTTTGCTTTGAGAATGAAAGCTGCTGTTAATCCCATTAAAGAACAGCAGCAAGCACGTACTGCAGAGGATTTCAACTGCTACCTCTAAAAATACCACCACTGTTCAAATCCTATTAATCTGAAGTGAGACATCGGCGTGAAAAATCTGTCATCTTAAACACTTCAAACGCCTTTTAAACTCTCGCTGCTCATGCCGCTACTTCTCCATCAACCTCTGCTGTACCTTTCTAATCCTCCAGTCTCTCTCCTGCGCTACAACTGATACCCAGCAGCCGATCCATCATCAAGCAGGCCGACAGACGGCACTCAGACTCCACCGCAAATTGATAACACCCCATTAAACAGCCCCCCCTCTGACAACTCTGTAAGAGTAAAGTCACTCGGCCAGAAACCAGCTGCAAGAGGAAAAAATCTATATTCCTTTACTGTCAACTTGTCCCCCTCTCCACAACGACAGCTTCTGGCAGATGTAAAGATGAAATAGTTTCATAGGATACATTGTTTCATTTTTAGAGTGGCATTATGGTTTTTAAAGGAAGTGAGCAAGAAGGGGGAGGAAGAACAAGGAACTTCAGGGCCGACTGCTGTTTTGGCAGGAGCCGTATGTGGCTGGCTGCTGCTGAGAGACAGTGGTCTTGATGTTGGAGAGGCAGTAAATTGGCAAAAACAAGGTCATAGGTTCAGGCCCCTGCCTCTGCAGCAATGGTCCTCATTTACTGTGGGAGGGGGGGGGGGCCTTACTTCCCAA